GTATAGTATAGTATAGTATAGTATAGTATAGTATAGTATAGTATAGTATAGCATAGTATAGTATAATCTCCACTGAGGAAAAAGAATGCCTTAAGTCTATAACGGAAACTTTCGTCAGATTTTAGTACAGATGTCGAAGTTTTAGACATTGCAGGACCAAGAAACCTAATAAAAGCAACAGATAGAAAAAGAAGCACAAGTCATCCCTGCAAAAAGGGTTTAATATTTTTTAGAATCTGTCAAAATACACTCATTAAACAATCTGTTAAATTGAATCTGACTGCATTCATTTCAAACTCATTTCTCAAATTTATGTGGAAATATTTATTCAATAAACACAGTTTTTGCACATATGATCGTGTAAGTACACATGAAGGGATTTTCTCTTCAAAGCATATTTATAGTAACACTATAAATAACATTAAGTAATGAAATGGGTTTGGCAATCCAAATAAAAAACACACACTTGTATAAATATAGGTTAATTTAGAAGCTGTCAGAAAAGGTAATCTTGACACTTGAATCCAAGTTTATTAACAGTTGCTTCTGCGATCCATCATTGTAACCCTGTTATTTGAGCTGCTTGGCCTGGCATCTCCTCACATTGACCCAATCTTCTTTAGGCCTCTTTTGATTATCAACATCTATCTTTAGTATAAATATCCAGTTATTCTTTCAGTATGAGCAGATCTCAATGTCAGGTCATGTTTAATTTGTATTATGGCTGTCATGAGTGTATCTGTCCCTTTGCTTACCCTCTTCCTCAAAGATGAGTGAGAAAGTGCAGAAAATTGTTATGCATATCAGTTTGTGAGGTTAAAGTTGACAGGATCAACTTGAACCAAAGCAGAGATTGATAACTTTACATATCTCTAATTGTTGCAGTACAAAATTTTAGAAAGCTCATTGTGACTAAACAGGTGTAGGCAAATGCTGTCTAAAAACAAGGGACTCCAGTTCCATTTGTTTTATTCTAATTTTCTCTATCAAATGAATTGACCACATCAACAGAACTCAGATTTTTTACACCATTATCTGTTTGACAAGAAAATCACACATGCAAGATGAACACTTTCTAAAATGAATTGCTTGCAGGATAAATAGGAACAGTAACCAGACTACAATTTTATTTTCCCAAATGTTAGAAATGTCACAGCGCAGGAAGTTAGCTCTTTCATTAACACACTTGCAGTTTTTCAGTTCCTAGATGACTTCCCACCAACAGCTACTTCATCCAATCTGATAATGATACAGGCTGACCTGAATGAAAAACTCCTTGACTCTACTACTGTTAGATACTCTCTAACTGGCTCGTCATATTTTAGGGTGGGCTTAATCAATGTGTTGTAGTCAGGTCAGATGATCCTTTCTTTCGGTCTTAAAACAGAAAAAATGAAAGACATAAACTTGGATGGAATTGTAAATGGCTTGTACTTGTACAGTGCCTTGTCAAATCCAGAGGACTCCAAAGAGCTTCACACTACATTTAGTCATTCATCCACTCACACACACATTCACACACTGAGGTGGCAAGCTACTAGATAGTAGCCACAGCTGCTTTGGGGCAGTCTGACAATGGTGAGGCTGCCACCGGAACCTCAGACCAGCACCAGCAGGCAATGCGGGTGAAGTGTATTGCCCAAGGACACAACGACAGAATGAAATAAAATTATCTGTTAAGACTCCAGGCACTGGTATTCTACTATGATTTTGTTATTTCATCTTGTGAATATTTTTCACACACTCAGAAATATATTAATTCCCTTTATAGTCATTGCCTGACTTGTTGCTTCCTTGCAGAGTCAAAATGAATGCAAACTGTAAATAGCAGGCCCATGCCAGATAGCCAGCTTGTACAAGCTATGTGACTCTAGTCCCTTTGTGGGAGCTAATGCTACTGTTGGTGAGAATGAATGACTGCCCTTTATGTCCAGGATTTTGTTCTCCTGGTACAAGGAAGTGATTGTAGTGGTCAGTGCTAGCAGAGGTACAGTAGCCCCGCAGGTTCTCAGGGTCATACAGGTGCTCCAGAGTGTAGCCTGTCAAGGAATATGAAGGATGTCTGTCCACATATGATCGTGGGTGACTGTGAGAGGGGTAGAGTGCAGGTGCTGGTGTAGGTAAAGCTGTGTGGGCACCCAACCGACCAAATGGGTTGTGTAACTGCAAAGGAAGAGGATTCATGTCAGTCTGGTGGTAGTCTTTGGGCCTGTGCGAACACTCAGCACTAGGACTGCTAAATCTGGATAGAGGGGTAGGACTAGAAGCAGGGCTTATTACTTGGCTAAAACTTCGGCACACCATAGTTTGTAAGGACCGTTGAGTGTACTCTGAAGTAAAACCTGAAGCAGCACCTCTGTGAAGCCCATTGACAATGCCTGGAGGTGTATTTTCAAAGCTCTTGCGTAACTGCATTCGATTCTCTTCTTCCTTGATCATCTGCTGTGTGGCCCTTAGCAGAGTATCAATCTTACTGGGCTCCTCTGGGCTGCAGGAGTGGTGATCTGCTTGATACAGACCTCCTGAGTCACTGACTGAGCCTCCACCTGGAGAGCTGACTATGCTGTCTTCCTCCCAGTGGGGTTGGCCTGCAGAAAGAGAAAGAATAACAACACAACAGTCAGAAGAATTAACTTGAATCAATATTACTGCAGTTGACACAAGAGCCTCCTTTCTAGTTTTGGTCATACTATGTCTATACTTTTGCTCACGTAGGGCATATTTAGCCATGTTGTGAGTCCTTACCTTGCTTGCTCTGGATTGCTGAGATGCTTGCCAAACTGCTATTGTATCCATCATGATTGTCCAAGTACCTTTTACTCAGCGGTATAAAGGACCGGGCTGTGCTGAACCATGTATCCCTGCTGGTTGGTGGAGCTCCAAGAAAATATCGACCTGCAATACATCGACCCCTCTCACAGCTCTGCCCTTGACCGTGTGCGTGGATGTGTGTGTGGATATCACTGGTGGTGTGGTGCTGCTCTTCAGATAAACTGCAGCAGAGACTCTGTGGATCAGATAAGTTTCTGTAGCCGTAAGAGGCTTCCATGTGTTCACTCAGCTGAGGCAAAGCTGAGTCTGTGAGAGGACTGCTTCCCCATGGACTGTCTAGGTCAGACTCTGTGTTGAAGCTAGGATACTGCAACACGGAGACAAAGTGCAAGAAGAAATATGTTAAGAAACTTCGCAAATAAAACTGTTGGGTTTCAGGATTTTATTTCAAAATGTAGGAATTCCTTTGAATGTTACTGTGGACAGCAAACAAGTTTTAACATATGCAAAAAAATAAAAATAAAAATCCTGTTTGAGTTTTTTGTAAAAGCAATTAGCAAATACATCAATAAGCTATAGGTTAGAAAACCCAATCAGATCCACTGGAACATGCCAGACTTTTTTAGTGTTTGGCACCCATCCACCACAGCAAGCCAATTGCTGAAAGGTTTATGTGTCATGCTAAACACTTGGCTGTTAACGGTCAGATTTCTGTCCTGCTGCCTGGAGAAACTGAAGAGGCTTTTTGCCAAGAACTACTTTTGTAGTCCTTAACCTACTGGCTTAACTAGAACTCACAAAGGAGTCAGCTTTGCACAAATCAAAGAAATTGCATGTGCAATCCCACATTGTAGGTAAGATGAAGGTGAGGTCTGAATAGTGAGCTGGAACCAACTTAAATTGCAGTTTAGGAGAAATAACTTTTTTACATTTCTGTAACAGACACAAAAGAAGGATACATTTATGATCTTAGAATCCAAAGATAGATAACAGATAACTCTCAAAGAAAAAGGGAATCTTTTGAAAGAGGAAGAGACAATAGTTTTTCTACAAAACACCCATAATACCCAAATATTTAAAAAAATTTGGAAGTTATGGTCAGAAGTTTACATACAATCATCATGTCTTAAATGTAATCATTTTAGGTTTTGTAATGTACAGCTGTACACTTAGCAGGGATCCCTAATTATAAAACAATAGTGGTGATTTTTATTTCACAACTATTCAACTCTTTTGATTATTTTTGTGCCCTTAGTACACTTTTGAACAATAAGTAAACTGGTTAGAAAAAAATAAACATAAAAAATGACACATAAATGGACATAGTTGAACGCTCGCCTAAGATTGCTGAGAGAGGGTATCGTAGCGAGAGGAATATACTGTAAGCCCAGCAGTAAACACGGCAGCATAATGGCTTCCTGTGATAAAGATAATCAAGAGGAGAATCACAGCAGCAGTAATTCAGAATAGCTTTGCGGATTTTATATGGAGACTGGCAGGCAGCGATGAAGAGAATGTGAATGCTGTTGGGGTGCAGTGGTGCATGTTGGAGCTACAACAATGGAAATATGATCTGCTTACTAACTGAACTGAACTGTTGACTGCCATGTAACCTCTGTCATGTTAGACAGAGGTTAGACAGAGGTTACTGTCTAACATGACCCCAAAGTTGCAGATGTGAGTGGGAGGAGACAAAGTGGTGCTGTCAATGGTGAGGCTGAAGTTGTTGGTGGTTTGGTAAGGGATTTGGGATCCATGTTGATGTCTGACTTGTCACAGTTTAGTTTGAGGGAGTTTGACAATGGGTAATGTAACTGAGGAGGAGCATGTACAGCATGAGATGGTGTTCAAAGTACAAGTGAAGCGTTACATCCCTGCTATGAGCTTGGACATCTCAACTGAGGTAACAGGAGAGACCAGTAATGCAACGAAGGGATCATATGGGGAGATTGAGGCAAAGGTGGTGGCAGTCTGATTACTGTAATCTGCTGTAATGGAGTTGGAGATGTCATCACTGGGATTAAAAGTGTTTATTTACAGCGGCGCCTTGGGGTTAGATGCACCAGAGTATGTAAGGTTTGAGTAGTAGGTGAAGTGGGAATTGATAAATGACTGTAATGACTAGCAATAAAGCAATATGTTTAAATGAAGGAACATCAAGAATGTTGTTTTAATGTCCTTTCTATGTACAGCTATAACACCACCTCCATGCTCCAAAGCTTTTTCAATGTACCGTATTTTCCGCACTATAAGGCGCACCGGATTATAAGGCGTATAGAATAGACGTTACAGTAGAGGCTGAAGTTATGTTATGCATCCACTAGATGGAGCTGCACTACAGGGAATGTCAACAAAACAGTCCAAGTCCGGTCGGCAAGGAGAGCCTTCCGAGACTGGGCCGGGGCATGGCTGGATGATGGTCACCCTTCTCCATTCGCGCACAACATGTTCGTGGAAAACGTGGTGCTAAATGACGTGCAGACGACCTGATTATAGACGGTCGGTAGGTAGATAGGTCAGTCAAACTTTATTAATAGATTACAAACCAGCGTTCTGACAACTATTCCAGCATGCACTGCGCGCTTCTTCTACGGGCGAAAATGAATGTCGGCGGCAGCTTACCGTAGTTGCTAAACCTGTTGTGACTCAATATTAGTCCATATATAAGGCGCACTGGATTATAAGGTGCACTGCCGGCTTTTGAGGAAACTGAAGGTTTTTAGGTGTGCCTTATAGTGCGGAAAATACGGTATGTAAAGCCAGGGGTGTGGTCTGGTTTAAAGAGAAATAGGGGTTAGTGCCATGCTTCAGGGAGACAGAGAAAGTCAAGAATATTACCAGTTATAAATGAATGTGACCTTTATTGTTGAGGGAACGAGTGTTGAGCAGAGTCGCTTTCAGATGATGTTGTTTTGAGATAAACAACGTGGACCAGTGGAGTAGATGGACATTGGGCAAATTCACATACTGTTTATTGTAATGACAGAAGAAGGAAGTTGGATTGTGACATGACCAGATATAAGGGATGGAGTTAGGCAATGTGAAATTATAGGAAAGCATTTGACCAGAGTGTCTGTGTGGAGGACAGTAATGCATTTGCATAATGTTGGTATAATGTTGCAGATGTCCGACTCAGGTGTTTTTTAAGGCTGTGGAGATCTGTGGTGAAGTAGAGTGACAGCATGATCTGGGTGAAGAAGTGGTGGATGGATGTAGTTAAATTTGTCTGGTGGATGGTTGAAAGGGGAACATGGGCTGTACCGGAAGCCTAGGAATGGTGGTATAGGCTTCTGATATTCAGTTTCAAATTGTGCTCACCGTTCACTTGGTTTTTATTGGAAGATAACTTCAAAGACAAAAGTATTTATTTTCTTGAATGAGTTTATATAAATTGGAAGTAAGATTTAGAAAATTGTGCAAGAAGTGCAATCAACAATTTGCTGATGCCCTTTTTTTAAAACTTGAAAACCTGCGCCTCGATATGTCTGTGCAAGTCACTGTTGAACTGTGTTGAACCAGGCACACATCTAAAAGTTGCAGGACACTGACCCTCAAAGCTGGGATTTGAGGACCCCTGTTCTAGAACTCTCAGCATCTCCTTTTTTAAATTTAAATTTTCATATATGTATATATCTGAGTCTCTATGTATAATATTGACCTTGTATGGATTGTATGAATTTCTTTAAATTGTTAAAAACAATATTAATGTCATGCCCACGATGGTTGTGTGTAATCCACTGACCAGAATTGTAAGTATTCTTAGGATTGAATAAGTCATTTTCATTTACATAACATGCTGCTTGTGGTCTATCTGCTTTCAGAAGCAGTTTTATTGCAATGACCCCAGTTCACTCATTTGCAGCACAACCTGTAACCTGTAATCTGAATGGTATTGCAACAAAACACAGAAATCTCACCTGAGTGTATGGTGAAAGTCTAGATTTGGTCTTGAGCCGGATCACTCTGCTTTTGAGAGTTTTGCAGTTCTCTGGAAGGCTGTTGGTGACACTATTGGTGCCGAACGGCAAGGAGGCCTTGGATGTAACCTGATCTAGAGAAAACTGAAGACCTTTATATTCTGCTTCCCTAACAAAAAAAGCACAAATGTTTTGGTCAGTAACTACACAAAGAGATTTCCCAGGACCATGGCTGTTTATTAAAGGTCACCAACAGTTCTTGTATACCTGTGCGTTTTCATTTAGGTGAAGAAAATCTCACCATCTGTTGGAAATTAAAGCCTAATCATGGAGCTTAAAAACGCAGCATGTGAAGTGCTGCGTTTTTGTGTCTGTATGAGCATAACTGCTGGGAAGAACTGGGATGTGTTAAGAAGGCTGTAGCTGCTGTTGGGAAACTTGTTTTACCAGGATTGGAGCAAGGCCTTTAGCAAACAATCCACAGTGGAAAAGTTGTCCTATAAAATACATAGGGAGATTAAGATCTGTGTCTGGATAATCAGGCACAGGGAAAGCTTAGACATCTCACTACTGGGAAATGGGAATTGACTTATTGCCTAAGTGTTAATCCCATCCAGGATGGTTTGAGGCAACAAAAGAACCTGGATGAGCATTACTTGAGAAAAATAGTGATTCATTCTACATGCCATGTCACCTTTTCGTTTCAATATCTCTCCACACAAACACTAATTCATGTACAAGTCAAAACTATTCAAAGATTTGCAACATCTCCATTTGAAAAGTCCTGGAACACAACAATGATTTAGCGGTCCATTACAACTGTAACGGACCGAATGTTTTGGTGTTTTGTGTGGTAAATGTTTTTGTGTTTTTCACGTTTCTGATACACTTGAACCTAATCTTTGCTGTGCACTCTTGGAACTGTTGTTTGTTGGTTGTCGTGGCAACGGGTTTGAGTGTGATGTTAAGCTGACATAGACAGAAAAAAGAGAATAATAACTATTTTTAAGTTGTTCTCCACCTGTTTTTCTATGTTTATTCTGCTTGGACAAATTGCTTCATTTGTTCTTGGCAATATTCAAATCAAACATCCAATAGAATGAAATACTAACGGATAGGAGTCAAAGTTTGTTTAATTCTAAACAAAACTGCCCCAGGTTCCTTCAGGGACAAGTTGGTAAAATTAAAATTATTGGCCAATATAATAGAGAAATTCAGCCAGGCACAGGTTCATGCCAGGAGCTGGAGTCAAGGACTTCCTTGAGCTGCAGTCAAGGAAGTCGGAGACTTCCTTGCACTCGGCACGGATGTTGACGCAGCTACAGATCAACCATGACTCTAAACCTCTTGAAGGTATGTCATCTGAGGATCTACGTCTCATACTCCACATCAGGGAGGTGGAGAACCGCAAGGAGCAGCAAATGGAAGCCATGCATCTTCGAATCAGAGCTCCTGAGCTCCAAAAAAGTTCACAAGCAGTTTCACCAAAACCACCAAGCACAGATTCTTCTGTTTTTGTCACTTTTGACATTAGCAAGCACATCACATTGGTCCCGCCATTTCGTAAGTCTGAGGTAGGCTCTTATTTTGGCGTATTTGAGTGCGTAGCCGCTGCTTTGAGCTGGTCAAAGGAATTATGGTCCCTTTTGCTACAGTGTAAGCTTGTTGGAAAGGCCCAAGAAGTGTGTTCAAGCTTATCTATTGAGCAGAGTTTAGATTATGAAACTCTTAAGAAAACTGTGTTGCAAGTTTACAAGTTGCAACTATTGATGATCTGAAATCACTCATTTTGTAAGAAGAGTTTAAAAAGTGTCTCCTGAACGGATTGTGACTTATCTAAACAAACAGAAAGTGTAACCTTTAACAAACACAGCACTTTCGGCTGACGAGTTTATTTTAAGTCACAAAAGTGTGTTTTCTTCACAGAATTTGTTTCAGAAAATCGTTCAATCCGAATGAAAAAAATGCATCTCCCAGGTGGGTGCGTCGAAATGTGCCATCAATTGCTTTAAAAGCAAACAATCGTGATTGGTTTTATTGCCACACACCTGGGGTCTCATGTATAAAGTGGCGTACACACAAAAATGTGCGGCGCCACATTTTACTCACAAGTCGGCATGTATAAAAATTAACGTGGCGTGAAAATTTGCGTAAATACATTAACTTTTGACCTGTCGTGAAAATGTGCGGCAGCTACGCAAACTTTTTCTGTGAAAAATAACAAACTAAAATGCGTCAAAACTCACCTAAATACACTGAAATCTGACTACATTCAGTGTTATTTAGACCACGAAGCATCAAACCCGATGTTTTTTCATGATTTAATATTTTATTGTTTAAACGTAAACAATAAAACTGAACCCAATTATCCGCAGACAATAACCTAATACGCGCACAGAACAAAGAAAATAAAAATAAAATGATGTGAAAACCTTAATCGACAGTAAATAATTTTCCTCAGTTTTTGTCTCATAAAGATGTATTGCATTGGTCTGTGTGCCAAAGTGCATGAAATGCATCTGCACAGTAATTTCATTCTCAATGGAAAAGAAAAAGCAGGTTGGATTAACTCCAAACAGGTCAGGTTTGATTATTTTTAAGGTGATAAAGGTGTGTAGACAATCACACGTATAGAAGTAGCTGCGCCAAGGTGTGCCGCATAATTGTGCTCTGATGGAGAAGATCACCAGTGGAAGGATTCAGAGGGAGAATGTGTACAGAGATCATATTGATCTGCTGGGAAATGTTGATGATAGTTTATTTAAGTTTAGATTGCCTGGACTGATCATGCTGGAGCTCTGAGCAAAACTTAAAGAAGGAGCCATGCGGTACCAGTGCAACTGCAGTCATCCTTCAGTTGAGCCATGCCCGCTTTGTGAATTTGCCTTTATGGACAAAAAGCATTTTTATTCTGTAAATGTACAACTTATGCACATGATTTCTCTATTTACAATAAACTTCCATATACCCACTCAAAGTACTCTCTGACACGCTGTCTATCTTTACATCCCAGCTGAATGCTCTGCTGATCAAACAGGCAAGTTTGGATATCTTTATTTTCG